TCTGTTTGTGATAAGCTGTTTTTATTATGAAACTAGCCACATTTTAGAAGAATAGGAACCTCTCGAGTATGCTGGAACTGTAGCATAACTCTGCTTTTAGGCTGAATAAATACATGAGATTTCTGTCCTTTTTTTTTTTTTTATTTCACAAGCCATTCTACATACTACTCTATTTACCACCGTGTGTACCCCTTCCTGACAGGACCTGTCGCCTGCTGTTTAATTAGGAGACTCCTTTTTTATTTATTTTTTTAAATAGTTGTGGACTTGGTCCAAAAATCACTTAATCTCTACTGAGGTGCAGCCTCCTTGAAAGAGAGTGGCACACAAGCTTGTTTTGAGAATCAAATTCTTATGTTGTTTTTTAAACATCATATATGTAATTTTCCAGACCCAGCTTTCTGTGGCTGATGGCTACGCTCCCTACATTCTGCACCTTTTACCTAGAGTTGTCCTCTGTCTTCAGCCATTTGCTCTTGAACTTGGTTTCCTTTTGCTCTTCTCGTTTATGTGAAACTCCTGTTGGGATTGTGTTGTACTTGAGAGCTCCAGGGCCTGCTGGGCTGACTGCCTTTGAGACAGATTTCCACCTTAAAACTTTGCCACCAGGAACTAAGATTGATCTACATAGTTTTCTAAAGATGTGCATGCTGCTGTCAAGCATTTTAGGTTTGACACTGCTGTTGTCAATGCCAGGTCTTAAAAACAAGTAGCAATCTGAAATGCTTCCTATGGTATGTAACTCTTCCTTCAGGAACAAATGACAGTATCAGTAATTTTCAAAAAAAGTTTTTTTTTTTTAATTGTTTGTTTGTTTTCAGACTGCAAAGTGCATAATTTTTTGTAAAAACATCAGTTTCATGTGAAGTAAAATCCATCGGAAATAAGTGTACGTATGTAAGTAAGAAACAAGCAGAGGAGAGAAACTTCAATCAGTTGAGAACAGTTCTCACGGGGGGGACGCGTTTCTCTTCTGAGCTTGAAAATCTCACGGTATCGTAATTCTAACCAGCTGCTTCCTTTCACTATGGGAAATGCCAGGTAATTCCTTTGGGCACATGCTCTTTTCCTCTTCTCTGTGCCAAGAATTGTGGAATGACTTCGGTCCTCTGCGTGCCATCCGGAGAGCTTCTCATGGGCATTTCAGGGGGAATTGCAGCCGCTCGGGGCTGGGCTGTTTTTTGTTGCTGCTGTTGTTGTTGCACGCCAAACGCACAAGGCAGCTTGGATGGGTGCTTGTTTTTTTAATTAAAAAATAAAAATAAAGGTACGTTTCAGGTGTAATGTAACTTATTTGTGTGACATATTACTGTTTAATGGAGAGTTGGTATCGCACCATATGGATACTTATGACTTTCAGTGGTTAAGCTGAGGGTGGTAACTTTTTTTCTAAGTAGATGGGGACACTGCCAATGCCTCTAGAAATGCAAATCCTGTGGCAAAGTAGACATTGATACTGTAATGTGACTGTATTATCCTAGGGCCCTTCTAAAGCTCTGAATAATATTTTGCTCTTCTGCCAACTGTTCTCTTCAGTTACTGCAAATAATTCTCGCTTCCATTTTAAAATGGTTTTAAAGAAAGGGCTCGGGTCTACAGGCTGCTGAGTGAAGCCTGCAAAAGGAAAAGAGGTGCAGAGGCCTGGCACTAGTACTTGGCCTGAGCCTGTGTGTGTGTAACACTTGTGTAGCACAGAGGAATGAACTCTCCAGAGCAAGCAAACCTCTGCCCGTGCACCAAACCACCAGTTCATGGCACCTGCTCTTCTCCACTTACTTCATGTTGGACAACAGATTACAAAAGGCCATGCTCAGCAACTCCAGATACTTGTGTGCTGCAGTGACCAGGACCTGATTCAAGGCTCACTGAAGTCCAGGGGAGTCTCTTCCTTGACTTCAGAGGGAATTGAATCAGGCCAATAGGCAGTGTATTCAGCACTACTTTCTTGCCACCCTCCTCTGCGGAGTCTTGACTAACCTAGGCCTTTTCAGGACTTTATTTTATGGTTGAAATACAAATTCAAGGACTCTCTACACGTTTTCTCTCAGCGAGAAGGTTGCCGCATATGGAAGATGCACATAGTGAAGGGGACAGATGGCCTGGGAATCCAGATTACAGGAGGCCGAGGGTCAAAGCGATCACCTCACGGCATCATTGTTGCGCACGTGGAAGAAGGAGGCTCTGCACACAGGTAAGGTAGCAGCTGTTCCTTGGTGAATTTGCATAGGTCTGATCAGTCATCTGCTTGAACCATTTCTGCAAGCTGAAGAATAAGTTTGTGGTCAGATAAACACACGTATTACAGAAGAGAGGGATATTAGAGCTCTTCAGCCTAAATTGGTAGTGTTAGACCCTCTTAGGATGCTCATGCAGTCCCACCTACCACCATGATTAACCCAAGGTAGAAGGGTGCTTATAGGTGTTTGGGGATTTTTCCAAAGGGAAAGTGAGGCAGGACCTTTGGATCCAAGGATTGCCTATGATGTACATTTAATTGAGCCTAGAATATAATCAAGGACATCTGACAGCATGCAAGATTCCTCCCTCCTTCCCTCATCACAAGATTGCATTGTTTGTGGGAACAGCCATAGGGAAGAACAGAGCTTTTTAATGTTCGGCATTGCTCCCTAGGCCATACATTGTGATAGCACCCTAGGGTTCCCTGTAGTAAGAAACATGATCATGGGCTCGGCATATAGGTCTCAGTTCAGGGGAGAGGGGATTGAAGTACCCCACGAAAGCCTTCCCACAGTGGGGGAGGTAGGCCTAAGGAGAATGTGAATTATCACTATATGCCATATGGAGCATTGTCCTAAATGCCATGCTGTGGAGATTCCTTCAAAGCCACGCAGCTCTCTGTGCATATCTGTCCTTGTGCTAATAAAATGACACCTATTTGAATGGGTTTAGATTCACCCAAATCATGCTTCGTTCACTTCATTGCACATCAGCTTTTAAATATAACTTTCCTACACAGCATGAGCCTAAGAACCTTTATTCAGGCTCAGAATGCTTTATGCTTTATTTCCATAGGGATGGTAGATTGACATCAGGTGATGAGCTCCTAATGATCAACAGTCAATCCTTGGTTGGACTCTCACATCAGGAAGCCGTGGCCCTCCTTCGATCGGCAGTTGGTCTAGTGCAGTTGGTGGTGGCAAGCAGGGTAGGTAACAGCATCTCATTCTCTTAATTGACAGTTGTTTTAATGCATGTTTAAAAGTGTGTGTGTGTGTGTGTGTGTGTGTGTGTGTGTGTGTTTTGGCAAGGGCAGCTTTTCAGCAGTCTGTACCATTATGCATGCATGCTTCCTCCCTTAAATTCTATAGCTGAGCTTGAAATTACACATGTAGGTCTGATAAATCTACGGTAAATGAATAGCAAGGGGGAACATCCCAGGCAACCATTTGTTTGTACAGCCTGAATAACTGTGTTTGTGCCTAGGATGGCAAACAGCATTTTCTGACAACAATACAGTGTGCGGGCCGGGAGCGCCCCGAGCCCTTTTTTGCGCTGCACGCGGGCTGTGGCCAGCAGCCCGGGCACGCGGGGGCGGAGAGGGGAGGCTTTCGCTCTGGAATTAGGCACGGACGCTATCGGTAGTTTAAAAGATTGTTTACTTACACCGAGATGGCAGTGGTGTAGGCTGGAAAGCTTGCTTCAGTTGCAGTTACAGAGAAGAAAAAGGAAAGAGGCGGACAAGAGTTCTAGACTCGTGAACTCTAGCCCAATCCGGCTGAAGGCTCTGAACACGCGAG